ATTTACTTTCCACCACCTCTCACACTTTCAAATGATGTAAATTGATCAATCACAACTGTTTTGCTGTCTCGCTCCATGCTCTGCTTGACCCCGTTGTTTGGTTGTAAACAGTCTGATGATGAATGGATGCACAGAGAGCGAGGGGGAGTGGTCTCTATACTACATGTACTATGAAAGGGACACACACAGACACATATATGACCATAAACATGCACGTTTTCTGGTGACATCACACATGTAGGATAAGAGATAAGTGTGTGTGTGTGTGTGTGTGTGTGCTGCCCTACTTCCAAATGGATCAATATTGTTATAAATTTGACTTGAGGCCTCAAACGGGAGGGTGACCCCTGGTTCAATATCCATGTATCTGTATACACATGCTGTAATGTGTGTGCACTGTGCATATGTGTGTTTGAATTATGTGTTTGAATGCATGTTGCCCTGGAATTGTGTGTGTAATAGTGCGTATGTGCATGTATGTGTGTTTATGGTCAAGTGAAACTGTGTGTATTTTTGTGTGTAGGAATATTCATGTTGTATTAGTGTGCATTGCAAGAGTGTGTATACGTGTCTAGTTCAAGGGTGTGTTGGTGTGAAAGCATCAGTGTGTTGGTTTGTGAAACTGGAGTCACATATGTGTGTGTGTGTGTGTGTTATATGTGAAGTGGATTTACTTTTTGTTGTCTTATCAGCTCAAACTCTAAGCAGAAACACTATCAGTGCTGCAAGTTGAAAATTAACTAAAGAACTGGAACAAATTATTATTAAATTAACTTCTTCAGTGAAAAAGTCCTTACACAGTCATGTTTTATCTGTTTAGCAGACAATCTCACTGCCTTCATCTTTTGAAGCGGAGTGTGCAGCAACGGAGCTGCGGTCGGCAACTACTGCAACGTCACAATGTGGAAGCATTACCAACTTTGATCACTGAAGTACCCAATAAGGCAAGTTTTAAAAGACTTGAAAAGAATACTTCAAAAATGTGTATAATCTCACTGTTAACTGGAAGATGGATTGTAACTGGATGTTTTGTAATGTTTAGTTGTTGTTTGTTGTTTGTGTGTCTGTGGCTTTGTATGGTCTTACTTTTATATGTATTGTGTGTCTTCTTTGTATGTACATTTTATTGTGTGCGGACCCCAGGAAGAGTAGCTGTTACCTTTGTGGCAGCTAATGGGGATCCAGGAATAAAGAATAAAAAATACACCCCTAGATGCCCACTGGAACTTTAATTAAAAAGTCTGTCAATAATAATTGCACCTGCGATGTCATTTAATGCTGAACATGTTGCTAGGAGTTTTTCACACAACAGCAGGACACAGAAATAGGAGCTGGTTACCTTGCTGAGGAGTTGGACATGTGTAGCGTGTCGCCTGCAGCTCTTCATCTAACAGCTCCATTACTCCCTGCAGTAAAACTGTCAAAAAATGCAGAAAATGACCATTGTCTTGTGACACATTTTTGACGAACAGTTGTGGTCAGTGCTAACCTCTGACAGATACATTGCTTTTCCTGTAACTGCCTCACAATAAAAGAGAACCTGTGTTTAGCCAGTTGAATACTTTTAATTAATTAAGGCTGTGTTTTGGCAAGACTTTTGCTGTATGATAAGCATCATGATAGCTGGGTTATGGTACTGTAAGCAAGGTGATATATTTAAAAAAATAGTATTAGTATAAAGAACACACCACCATATGTATAAAAAAAGTTTAAATTGTTCCTGGTTAGAATACAATATCAAAAAACAAATATTGCAATACTATTTACATACCTAAACTTAATTCATCTCAGAGTGAGTGAACACAAAACAGTGAGGGTGAGATAAAATTGAAAATGCAGTATTTCATGTGTGCATCTTTTCCTGTAAATCCCCTGTTCATGGGTAGCTGACACCATAGAGATGATGTCTTTCTGAGGCCCTTCACAGGTCAACAGGGACTACAGTGTGGAAAATCCAAATAAAGGGGTGGAATGCGAGGAAAAAGTTAATATACAAACAAACACAGAGAGAGCAGAGTAATGAAGACTATAAATAATAAAGATGGCCTAATTTAGCAATTCACAGACCAGTATTCAGTTAAAAGTGCCCTGAAGGTTCAGCACCCTGACAACAGTAAAGAGTAAAATGTTTATGTAATGCTGATAAAGTCATGGAATGACAAAAGCAGAGGAGAGAAGGTGTGAAAGCTTGTGTCATGTTGTGTTTCTTGTTGACAAGAGGACTGCGGTGCTGATGATGGGTGACACATTCAGGGTCAAAGGTTACAGTGACTGACAGCTCAGGCCAGGCGTGTTCACGGCTTCCAGCCTGACAGCCATGACAGACAGGCGGAGAGATGACCGGTAGGCGAGTGGCTGGATGTCAGGATCAAAGAGCGAAACCGGGAGTATGTGACATTTTGGCCAATTAGTATATTAAAACTAAACAGTGCACGTAGCATTAGCAGCAAGTAAGTAATATTCATAGTAGCAGTAGTACAAGTAGTAATGGTAGTTGTGATTGTAGGCCTAGTAGTAGCAGTGGTAGCAGTAGTCATGGGGTAGTAGTAGTAGCAGAGGTAGAACTGTAGGAGTAGTGGAAGTGGTAGTCGTCATAGTAACGGTAGCATAGGTAGTAGCAGTGGTAGTAGTAATAGAGGTAGTGCTGTTGGAATAGTGGAAGTAGGAATACAATAGTAGCAGTAGAAGTAGTTGTAGTAGGAGCAGTTGTATTGGTAGTAGTTGTATCAGCTGTAGGAGTAGTAATAGTATCAGTAGCAATAAATAGAAGCAAAGCAACTGTCCAGTCTGTTAATCTGCAGAGTTCCTGCAGTGGTCAGATGTTTAACCTTCTGTTCTTTTTAGCCAGATGATAATGCTGTAATCCCACATCTGAAATCTGAACAACCACACACACACACACACACACACACACACAAACTTTACTACCAAAATAAAAGCACTCGTTATTATTAGTTTTTATAAACAGTGTGTTTGTATATATAATCAATAATCAGTAATAATCATCAATAATCAGTAATAATCATTAATAATCAGCAGATGAACAATTAAAATAATAATGAGTTTCTGTGTGATGACTCAGAGCTGTTACTATGGTTACTGTGGTATAACTGTAAAGGAACCTTCAATAACTGATCAATAAGCTGATCAGAGTGTATTAAAGGACGATAACTGAGACAGTAACTGTGCTTCCTGCTGTTCACAGCTCCGGCCAGCAGGGGGCAGACTGACGTCACAAACTAACAGAATGAGTTTATATATTGATTAATGAGGTTATTGATATGATTAATAACTGCAAATATATTACGCCTGAACACCAATGGATTCTAAACTACAGCCCTAATGTATTGATCCTATCAATAACCTCAGAATCAATCACAATCAGCCCACTGGGAGCTGAACTATGACCACTTCCTGTTTAAACCTCAGCAACAGATACTGAGGGATCAATAATTATCATAACTCTGAAACTGATAATCTCTCAAACGCCTGATAATGGGCACATAAACATTTATTTCTTTGTTTCTTTTGTTATTATAATTTATTTTAATATTCATTATTTGTAGTTTTGCTATTATTATTAATTTTACTATAAAATATTATTACTATCCTTATTATTATTTGTATTGTTATCATTATTATCATTATTACTATCATCATTATTATTATTATATCATTATTATTATTAATACTATCATTATTATTATTATATCATTATTATTATTATTACTATCATTATTATTATTATTGTTATTATTATTATTATTATTATTAATAATAATATTATTATTATTATTGTTATTATTATTGTTGTTATTATTATTATTATTATTATTGTTGTTGTTGTATTATTGTTATTATTATTATTGTT